TGCTATTAGATTTGGGAAAAGATCACTTGTCACGTTAGGTGACAGAACACCTAATACCAGTTCATTCACGCTATTTTATACTCACTCACGCCATTTTGTGCTCATTCACGTTTTACTATGGTGATTTACGTAAGAGTGTAAGTTTTTCACGTAAATGGAAATTCATACGTTTTCCCCCTAATAATTTGTATTGGCTATATTTTATGAAATTAAATTTGGATTATCATTTAATCTTTACAAATATGTTTTTTTCACCGTTGAATCGGTTTCCTTTTTCTCATTTAAGCCAAAAACAGATAAAACGAAATTGACCCCAGCCCAAGCAAGAACGGGAGAACATCACTCTCCTATTCTCAAGAACAACCAACCAAAAACAGAGACCTACACTACATCAGCCATCTGCACCTCAAATCAACCCTACTGCCTGCAAATCACTTGTCGTAGAAACATTACAAGTACCAAGGAATCTTAAATCCTACAGAATAGCATTTCCCACCACCACTGCACTACGAGGAGCATCCCCATTAACTCGCTTACACCTTTCATTCCATATATTGGAAACATAGAAGCACCAGAGCCATCCCATCATTCTCCCCTGCGATGTCCCTCGACACCACTGCGTGCAGCGCAGTTCCTGCGAATAAGCACACTGGAAAAACAAATGTCCCCTTGATTCAGGACTAGTGTTGCATAGAACACAAGTTCCATCAACCAATGTACCCCATTTGAGTAGCTTGTCCCTCGTTACTATACTGTCCTGCAAAACCAACCAAGTTATAAAACTATGTCCAGGAATATACCCCTTCCCCCAAACTAGTTTATCCCACGATACCACAGACCACTTCTTCCTAAGAGATTCCCAAATCACTCTTATAGTAAAACACTTCATCGGAGTACCATCCCAGCAAAGAGAGGCCCCATGCCCTGAAAAATGAGACTAGACAGAAGAACGAACATTGAGTATTCGTCTCCAAGCCCACGAACTACTAGAAGAGGACCTTATTGTCCAAATGCTACCAGTTTTCACCCTATAATGCATTATCCAAGCAACCCAAATAGTCTCGCTTTGCATTAGGAGTAGCCATATCTGCCTTGTTGTATAAGCCTGATTCCATGTAAAGAGTTCCTTTAATCCCAAACCTCCTTCCTTCTGAGGTCGTGCTATTTTTTCCCAGCCAACTTTAGCTCTGCCCTCCTCACCTCCATGCCACAAAAAGTTAGTAAAATATTTTGTGCACCCTCTTAAGAACACTCTTTGGTAATAGAAAAACTTGCATCCAAAACTGTAGAACACCCATCACCACAGTGGATAGCAGCTGTAACCTTCATGCATAGCTGAGTTTTTTTCACTCTCCAGTTCTTAATCTTCTGAGTAATCCTGTCCACCAATTGATCACATTCTGCAAATGAAAGCTTGCCAGAGATAAGTGAGAGCCCCAAATATCTAACTGGGAGTTCGCCCTCTTGGAAACCAGACTTCTCCAATGCATTAGTTTTAAAATCCACATAACTACCCCCAAAATACACTTCACACTTCTTAGGATTACATTGCAATCCAGATAATTCATAAAACTCATTAAGTACACTATGGACAACAACAATAGCCCTAGCAGACCCCTAAGAGAAAATCAACAGGTCATCAGCAAAGCTTAAGTGGGTTAGACCCACTTTTTTGCACTGTAGGTGATATGGAATAAGTCCAGAAGGAGAAGCATTAAGAAGCATAGATAAACCTTCCATTGCAATAGTAAAGAGGTAGGGTGATAGGGGACCCCCCTGTCTCACCCCCCTCTTTGCACCAAAATACCCACAAAGCCCACCATTCACACATATACTAAACCTAGCTGTTTTCACACATAGTGAAATCCATTTACAGAAGGGTGCAGGGAACCCCATTATATCCAACACAAAAAACAAATATTCCCAATTTACCGAATCAAAAGCCTTCATTAAATCCACTTTAATAGCACAACGTGAAGATAACTGTTTTCTATGATAACCACTCACCATTTCCTGAGCCATGAGTATATTGTCCACAATTCTTCTACCCTCAATAAAGGCAGACTGGTTACCACTAATAACCGTAGGAAGGACTTTTTTCAACCTGTTACCTAGTAGTTTAGCAATTATTTTGTATAATATATTAATGCACGAGATTGTTCTAAAGTCTTTCAAAGCACATGCAGAGGGAAATTTAGGCAGTAATGTAATAGCAGCAGAAATAACACTACCTGGCAACCTCCCAGACTGAAAAAGTCCAATACAGCTGTAGTAACATCACCCCCATTTATTGGCCATGTTTTCCTATAAAAACCCGCTGAAAACCCATCAGGCCCTGGCGCTTTATGAGGATCCATGTGCATCACCACCCATTTAACATCATCAACAGTGAAATCAGAATTCAGAAACTGCTTCTCCTCCTCACTTAACCTCTTCTGGATAAGATTATCCAATTTCACTATGTCTGGATGCACATTCGGGTCCACCCTATCAAACATGAATTTATAGAACCTAACCGCTTCGTCAGCTATCTGATCACTTTCAAACAACTCATCACCATTTTATGTGACCAACTTCCTTATTGCTTTCTTTGCATTACGTATTTTCACAGCTTGGTGGAAGAATCCTGTACAGCGCTCACCTAGAGACAACCACTTGATCCTGGATTTCTGCTTATACATGCTCTCCTCTGCTTTCCTAAGCTCAAATAAATGAGCCTCCATGATAGCAACCTCTTGGAATACTTGTTCCCCAGGCTCATCAAACCCTTTAAGTTGTGCACTATTCAACCTCTCTTCCATTCCCTTCACTTGGCCACTCAAATCACCATAAACCTCTTTGTTAAATTGCTTCAAAAGTTTCTTTGCTTCATTAAGTTGAGCCTTCACAACCGTTATAGGGACCCCCTGCGTTTTAAATTCCCAAGCCTTCTGAATCCGAGGAAGAAACTGAGGATCCTCAGTCCAGAAGTCAAAAAATTTGAATGGTTTTGGGAGAGATTTCTGCCCTGGTTTAGTGGCCACTAGAGCACCACAATGATTAGTAAAAGCAGTTGGAAAGAACTCTACTCTACAATCAGGAAAATTATCAAACCAACTTTCATTTACCAAAACCCTATCCAGTTTCTTTGCAATCGGGTTTTCCACCTGCTTACTTGTCGATGTAAATTGAGGCCCTACCGCTCTGTGGTCAAACAGTTCCATGTTTGCTACCCAGTTCCCAAAATCAGTCATACATCCACTAGTGTCTCTAAGGTTAGATGTCTCCCCAGGTTTCAATACAGCATTGAAATCCCCCCAACTAGCCAGGGAACCCCACTAACCTTTATTTGGGACATCTCCAGATAAGTTGCCCGTCTTTCCAATTCATCATTCGAACCATACACTGCAGTAAAAAACAAAGACTCCCCAGTCACCGTTTTAGCAAGACAATGCACCAAATTCTTCTTAGGTAGCAAGATGCTAACTGTTACCACTTCTGGATCCCAGAATAACCACACTCTCCCCAACTCTGAATCCACATAATTCAAATGTTTCTTCCAATCTTGACAAAAATCACCTGTTACCTCTTCTGCTTTTACCTTCCTCACTCTCGTTTCAAGAATTGCTACTACATCTACTCTATACTTTCGAAGGACAGAAAACATGTACCTTCCTCTTAGAGGGTTTATTGAACCCTCTAACAGTCCAGAAGAGAACAATCATGGTGGGGAAGAGGGCTGATGAAGCCCTAATTTCTTCCCACCTTTCTTTGGAGCACCTTGAAGTTTAACCACCCTCTCCTCCTGCAGACCATCAAGAGCCGCAAAAGTCTGAGAAGTAGACAGAACAATGGTTGGACTCACCATAGGAGACCATCCTGTACAAATATGTTGCATTGATCATAATCTACATAATGACATCCATTTTGATATATTTCAAAGTTTAAAATTTTATTTTTCAATGGCGTGAATAATTAACAATATGCGTGAATAAACATTAGGTGGCGTGACCTAACAATATTGATTGCGTGAATAATCAGCGCTCTTACGTGAATAACGCAAATATGACGTAAATAACACAAATATGACGTGAATAACGCAAATAAAACGTGAATAACCCAAAATTAGGTATTTTGTCACTAACGTGGCAAGAGACTTCACTCATCTTGTGTTCTAATCTTGGTCACAGTCAATATAGGCAGTTAAACTTAAATAGATAGATTATATTTATGGTCGGACAGACTGTATATCAATTATGAGAGAGTGATCAGAAGCACGTTATGAAATTCATTTTTATCATCTCTCAACACCGCTCGAATAATTATTCCTCAACAAATACAATTCGGATTATCGGGATGGTATAATGGTTGTTTTAAGCTATATCATTTTACACATTCCTCCAAATGAACTCATTAGCAAGGTGTTGACCTCATCAAAATACACATCCATAGTCATAACTATCTACTTTGTGACAATAATAGTCAATTTTTGAAAAATACATAAATATAGCCGCATTTTGAAAACTATTTTGAAAAATTTAACTATTTTCGTTAAAAAATTTAACACCATCACCGACCTCGTCAATAACATGAATGTGGCGCTGATATGAATACCACCTGGACGACATATCTTCTCCAAGTAAATATATCATATATTCCTGTCTTGTCGACGGGCGATATGATGCATGGTAACAAATTAAAAAGGCTAAGCTAGCTGGCAAGAAGAAAAGTCTGCATCTGTCCACACAACGTACACTTCTGTTGTATTTTACAAATCGTGGATGAATTTACATTCAAAACTATGCCTATATTTTGAGGAAACAATTAATAATCATCCCTTGGCCTGAAAATTGGCCCTAAAGAGACCTAGCTATATAAGATACCAAATACAACACGCAGTTAGCTAGAAAAAGGTCACATAACACGATGGTAATAAAATAAAATGAAAACATAGTTAAATTACATAACAATATATACATTTAATTCATGAATTTGGTCATCACGGGCTACTTACTTAGTTTTTAACGATCCAATTCAGGGTGCAAGGTAGCATTGTTCTCCACTTGTTCTGCTTCCCACTTGGCCTTCGCCACCGCTCCATCATGTACTGGCACGTACTCCTATTGTCCAATGATCATGTACCGAAATTAATCAAATATTCAATTAGGAGGAAGAAACAAAAAAAACAGAGAAAATAGTGTTATAAAAGCAACAAATCAAATGGACTCATGCACTGACTTCAAGTTTGTGGAGTAGTTTGGCATTTGGGGCAGAGACGATGATGGACCGCTGAGATGGGTGGATGAAGCCATCGGCCACGGCCTTGTCGATGAAAGTCCGCAAGTAATCATAGTAGCCATCCACATTAAGCAAACCCACCTGTCGACGTCAGTAACCGTAAGTGATTAAAGTAATTACGATAATTAACTAGGTTTAATGGTGTAATTTAAGTACTAGGTTAGGTAGGTAGGCTTACGGGTTTGTCGTGGATTCCAAGCTGGGCCCATGTTATGACTTCTAGCAACTCTTCCAAAGTACCATACCCTCCTGCTTAATTATTATTAATTTCCAGAAACCCTTTTTCCCATATCATATATACATACCAACTTTGATATTTGCAATTCCATTAATTAATTGAGAGAGATGAGTGAAAGTAGGCATGAAACCTGGTAAGGCGATGAAACAGTCGGAATGACGAGCCATCTCAGCTTTCCTCTGGTGCATGTCTGCTACTGCTCTCACTTCCCCAATAGTTTTCCCAGTTAGCTGTACGTACTTCAATTAATTAGTTTCACGATTACTATAACTATTTGGGCTAATTATATTGCCGATATACATACAATAAAATGTAGAGAATTGATTTTAATTAAACACACACCTCCTTGCTCATCAGCATCTTGGGCATGATTCTGTCACATATATAATACAACAATCCATCGTTAAAGTCTAGCTAGAGTGCTTGTCGACTTTGAAATATAAAAAAAATTACGTACATACGTACGTACCCTAGCCTAGGACGCGTCGACCTCCACGGTGGACCTCGTGGGAGACCAAACCCATCAACCCAATGCTTCCTCCTCCGTACACAAGGTCCAACCTCCTTGACACCTTCCATGCACCACCAAGAGAAATTACATATATGTAGATGGTAAGAATTAATTAAGTTCCAAGATTTGAAACCAGAGTTTAGGTACGCTACTAATTACCAGTTGTTGGGCCAGTTCGAGAGCAGCGTCACGGACGGTAGGAATCTCGTTTCCCAGTACTGCTGCTTATAAACTCCATAAGTATACTTGTTCAGCAGCTAGCTGGATTCGGCTGCACGTATATAGATATGGCTTCTGGTTAGGTTTTTCTTTCGCGAGGCGTTTTGCTTTTCTCAGAAAGGAGGAGAAGAGGGACAGGCAAGGCATAAAAAAGAGGGGAAGTGGACGAGTGCTACTGCTCCAACTTTATAGCAGCTAGATATGTAGACAAGTAGTAGGAAGCAAACAGAGGGAGAGCTAGGGAGGGAGACAAAAATATGGACCAAGTGGATATAATTTTCGGGGCTCAGCTACCAAGTCGCCACGTGGATGGACAACTAGCGAGGAGGATTAGGAATAATCAATTATTACTATATATACTAGGTGCTAATGGCATTTGTAGTCACTGCACTATATTGTCATTTCGATAAACACATATTGTTACGGTAAGTTGCAACAATTCCTCTTATTTTCTTTACGAATGATATGGACGAGACTTGATGTTGGCACCCGTACGTAGTTAAAAGTAGCGATACACGTAGATGAAATTTATTAGAATAAAAAATATATTTAATAATGAAATTGTTAAAGGAATAAAATAGAAACTCATAAAAATAAAACAACATGGCATGCAAAATGTTTTGTTAGGAAGTTATACAGTAACATGTTCTGGTAAAGGAAGATAGTATAGGGACAAAATGGTCACTAACACGTATACTAATCAGAGCCGTCCCATGATATTCGGAGGCCCTGTTCAACAATCTAAAATGTGGCCTCAAAAATTTTTCTTGAAAATTTAATAATTTTCGAATCGCCGTCAAGATTGGCTACTAGTATCCAAACTCCTCAATTCTCTGTTTTTGTTTACGCGGAGAACTACCTTTTTCATATTTTTGGATTGACATAATTAAAAATATAGTCGAAGATTAATCATTTGAAATTTCCAATCAATATTAAGTTCCCTGCAAATGAAAAAAAAAAATTTAGAACTTAAAACAAGTTGGTTAGAAACCTGGATAGTAGGGATGGACATCGTTCAGGAGTTAATTAGAATGTGGTGTGAATAATTAATATTTAAGCTTTGGATGATTTGGGGTGGGGAAAGAGAAGAAGTAAGACGTTTAAATACTCTAATGGCTAGTAAAAATTCAATAAATGACTCTCAGTTTAGTGACTAAATCGCCTTTTTAATTAAAAAGAGGTTCAAGGTTCGATTCTCTTCCCTATCAGTTGTCATCCTTGTATATTTGATTTAACCCTTTCGTGTGTCAGTTGCCATCTTTGTACATTTAATTTTTGTGTGGGCTTTGCCAGCCCAAGGAGGCCAAGGTTGGCTCTGGTCGGGCTAATGGATTAGAGGCCCATAAAACTTGAGGCACAACAGACTTGTGGATTATGAGGCTCCAGTCAGGCTTATGGATTAGAGACCCCATAAAATTTGAGGCCCTGTACTGTGGGTCTGACCAGTATAAGGCCTGGGCCGGACCCGATACTAATCCAATTGATTATTTTAAGTTTTTCCTTTGTTCTGCTTTATCTTTTCGATGGAACGGAGAAGGAAGGAAAATTCGCCGTCGCCGACAAGGAGCGGGGAAGGGAATCCGCGTTCTCTAATTCATTAGCCAACTCGACAGACAATGAAATGCAGTTCCGGTTTCCAGGTTCAGCCTCCCTAGAGTCTCTATTTTCATCCCTGTCCTGTCTACTCTTTCTTCACACGTGCGACCTTTCTCCCGCCAATATGTTGAATTTGTAGGTCCATGCATTACGACTTACGTGCAAATCAAAATGAAGGTTAGGTGGAATAATTGCCGGCAATGGGGCGGGGAATAAGCCCTACAAACACTGGGCTCAAATTACTGTCCCATTTAGGTCCGTCTCATGAAATGGGTGAAAGCTTGACCCCGAAGATCCACTGACTCGTCCCGACCCGTCCTGTCTCTTCCCTAAGGGTCAGGACGGTTTAGTTTGTTTACAGGTTTAGATTAGGGACGGGTCATGTGTTGACACTGTAAGGGTCGTGACGGGTAGGGACAACTTAGGGACGGGTCACGTTATGATCCTGTGACCCTTAGCAACAATAAATATCTCACACCACATTGGATATTTTTGTAAAGTTTTAAAATTTTAGGTACTAACTTGTAAAAATAAAAATTTTGAGTACCAAAACGTAATTTTATCATCAAAATTTATGGACTTATTTGTAAAAAACAAAAAAATTTAGGTACTAAATTGTAAGAAAAAATAATTTTGGGTACCAAACGTAATTTGTTAAAAGGTAGTGTGTTGATTAGGGTCGACCCACTGACCCGGCCCGTCCCGACCCGTCCCAACACTTGAGGGTCAGACAGGGTCAAGAAGGAGACATGGACGAGACGGGTCAGTTATACATCTTGACCCTTCAGGGACGGTTCAGGGATGAGACAGGGACAGGGGCGAGACAAACAAATTTTCAGCCCTACAGGCACGTAGAGAGGACGTATGTAACCGATACTGAAGCATGGTGGGGTGAACACATGGGTGCGGATAAAGTGACTAAGCAAGGTCGTTAGTCACTTGATTAAGTCTCTTTTAGTCCTTAGATCTGGATACATTAATCTAACGGTTAAAAAGTAGGAAGGAATTTTTAACTGTTGACAGAGGTAATTTGGGTATTATGAAAAATTACGAAGTATGCAAACCTGATTTACAAACAGTACAAACATACAAACATATTTAAAAACAATACAAAACATACGAACTATACAAACATTACAAAGTAGACCGGCAAACAATACAAACCATAAAAAATGGAAAAGCAACCATGTTGACTTTGGAGGCTCCATCACTATATAGATGGGGCACCGTTCCAAATTCAACCAGATTGTTTTTCAGACATACAAACATTACTAACATGGTGTACAAAAATGACAAACTAGACCGACAAACCATACAAAATGGAAAAACCAGCCGGGTTGACTTTGGAGGCTCCATCTCTAGGAGTGTTCAAATGGAGTGGTTACCATGATAACAATTTTAACCAGTAGTATTTGCATGATTTGGTTTGGTTAAATTCTTTAGCTTGTTTGGTTTATGTGGTTTGGTTTGGTTTCAGACACTCCAAACCAATGAAACCAAATTAACCAGTGAAGTAATTAGCCATATCTAATATATATTTTATATACATACTTAATATTTTGCATAACCACTTAAGAGACAAACATTTTTCCGCTCATAAAAATTAAAGTTCAATATTGTTCATGTAATGTATATTTATATTTGTAGAGTGCAAACTACAACATATATGCGTCTAATTATAGATTAAATCATACATTATGTTTGATAAAAACTTGAAAGGAAGGTCTTTTACAGACTATGATAATGGTAAGCGAATCAATTCACATAAACACAATAATTCATTAACTCCATACCATTGACATATATTTTTGTTAGGGGAATACTTCTATTGACCGTACGATAATTGTATTCGTTGCATGTATGTATGTTAACGGTGAATTAAAGCTATGTGTTGATCGTTATATTTTATTCATTATATAAATTGTGAATTAATGCATTAACCGAACAAATTTCTAACCTAATGATAATGTGATGTTTTATTGGTTAATCTGGTTAACCAATTAACCAAACCGATTAAACTTTAGTTTGGTTAATTTGGTTGTTGTATTAGTTTGAACGGTTTGGTTATGATATTGTATTCCATGGTTAATATAATTTAGTCTTATTTGATTTGGTAACTACCATGGTAACCATTTGAACACCTCTATCCATCTCTACATAGAAGATTTACGTCCAAAAGTCAACTAGGTTATTTTTTATACATAAAAACATTACAAACATGGTGGACAAAAATAACAAAGCTTACAAACTTTACAAAAGAAACCGACAAATATTATAAAATAACAAAGCTTGCAAACATTACAAAAGAAACCGACAAACAATACAAAAACAATACAAAGCATACTAACTATACAAAATACTACTACTTACAATATAAATCGGTAAACTTGTATTACAAACCAATGTATACAAACTATACAAATCATAACATAAAAATATACAAACTAGAAAAACAAACATTACAAATTACAATATATACAAAATAGTCATATAACCATTACAAATATAATAGATAAAAATGATGAACTATAATGATAAATGATACAAACTGAATTGATACAAAATCACAAAATAAACTTACAAACATTACAAAATAGTCCGACAAACATAACAAAACAGATGTTGTCACAGAAAAATCTCCATTGCCGGTAAATCTCTCTCTCTCTCTCTCTCTCTCTCTCTCTCCCAGAGTGATTTTATATCGAGTTCCCAACGAAAACTTCTTCCCTACGTCCTCTGCAACTCTCCTTTCTGGGATTCCCTAATTCGCTTAACCTAGAATATAACCAGGTGAATAATGGAAAGAAGATAAAAGGGATGAATCTTGTATGAGATCTGGAATTGGTTTATAGAGAGGAGAATGCGGTGGGATTAGAAGCTTAATTGCTCGACGGAGTGGTAAAATCAAAGAGGGGAAAGGGATCCAGAGTGGTGGAGTCGGAGAAGAATAAGTAGCAGCTATGACAAAAAGCTGGTAGTGGGGAACGTGTGAAAGTGAGCTGCAATAGTATAGGAAGGTTGTTCCTTATCAGCACCCCCCGGCAAGTGAAGCCTCAGCAAGGCGTAACTTGGAGCAGAATTTGGTAAAACGAACTCGCGTGAGAGGCATAGTGAGGACGTCTGCGATATGATCTTGAGTAGGAAGGTAATGAACACGCAACTGCCCCTTACTAAATTGATCACGAACAAAGTGGAATTTGATTTCCACTACTTGGAACGATTGTGGAAGACGAGATTGTGAGCAAGATAGGTAGCCCCGAGATTATCACACCATAATACACTGCTAAGAGGGGATCGATTGACCCAATTAAGACATCAAAGACCGAAGCCAAAGGACCTCGACATCAACAGTGGCTAGTGCTCTATATTCGCATTCGGTAGATAATCGTGCCACTGATTTTTGTTTGTATGTGGACCATGAAATGAGGTTGGAACCGCAGTAGACAATGAAGCCAGTAATGGACTTTCGATCTTTTGGAAAGGATACCTAAGATGCATTAGAGTAACCATGAATATGAAGAGAGGGGGAGCGAGTTATGTGCAGACTGCGACCAGTGGTTGCGAAGGTAGCGTAGAATCCGCTTGACTGCCCCCCAATGAGGTTCTGTGGGGTAGTGCTGAAATTGAGACACATGATTCACTGCAAAAGAGATGTTAGGACGAATTAAACTCAAGTACTGAAGGCCATCGACAAGGCTCCGATAGAGACCGGATCAGAAAATGGCGGGGAGGGGTGAAGTGCACTTTGCTGAATGATGTCGATGGTGGAGGGTGTGGAAATTGAATTAGCAGCCGCCATCTTCGCCCGATTAAGGAACTCGGTGATAAACTTTCGCTGATTGAGAGTTATACCAGAAGCAGATCGATGACCCTCTATACCAAGAAAACAGGATAGAGAGCCAAGATCCCGAAGAGAGAATTTGTCGTTGAGGTAAGCCATAAGTTGCTAAATTAACAGAGAAGAATTGTCGGTGAGAACAATTTGTCGACGTAGACAAGCATGCAGAGGCGCACTGAACCAGATTTGCAGATGAAGAGGGATGGATCAGTACGAGAGACACATAACCCAAACTAAACTAGAGTTGCTGCCAGACAACCAAACCAAGTGCGAGGACCTTGGCTAAGGCCGTAAATACTCTTTCGAAGACGGCATGCATGATCTGGTTTGTCGGTATCGGCAAAACCCACTGGTTGGCGCATATAAATTGTTTCCTGTAACTCACCATGAAGAAAAGCGTTAGCAATATCAAGCTGATGCAATGGCCAACTTTGAGTGACTGCAAGCCCAAGAACAAAGTGCAGCGTAGCTGGGCGAAGAACATGGTTGTAGACAGTGGCGGAGCCAGAAATTGGCAAATGGGGGTGTCTTTTCCATATTGGAAAAAGTCAACATTAAATGGAAAAAGTTAACTATAAACGAAATAATTTAATAACATAATATAAAAGATTCGTACAATTACATAATATTAGTAATACTTACATCACCTACAATGAACCGCGATAAGATTTGATATTCTGAAAGTAGTGCAGAATGCATTACTTATGTCACTAAGGCATCGTTCAACTACTTGGTAAAAACAAAATGAAACATCCAATTAATAGGCACAACCGGCCCTTTTCTTTTACAGAGAACAAAAGAGTCGAATACTCACCAGCGGAATTCAGTGGGCGGCGCCGGAGGAGCTCCAACGAAATATTGGTCGGACTTGGGGACAAGAAGTTTGGACGAGGAAACTTGTTGCAGCGCCGCAGTGGGATTGCTTTTCAGTGGAGAGCTCTCGTCTCTCATTTCTCGCTATGACTGTCTATCAGCGGCATCAATTGGGAATAAACAAAATGCTAGGGATAGTGGCGGGACGTAAAATTCGTTTAGGTGTTGGTCTTAGAAAAGAGTAAAATAGAGTTAGAGAGGATTTATAACAAGAATGTTGTATATCTGAGATGGCAAAGTAGGATACATGTCAACGTATTGTTGGTGGTTTGAATCACAAGTTGTCTATATATACTGGGGTATTTTTTTCCAGTTGCCAAGGGGGCTGCACACAACCCCAGGTCATCAAGGGGCTCCGCCACTAGCTGTAGGTCTCGTGGAAATCAACACTCGGAATTTGTTGGAAACCACGAGCAACCAATCTAGCTTTCTCGCGTTCAATGCTTCCGTTGTCGTTGTATTTGGTGCGAAAACCCCATTTGTTGGTAAGGAGGTTACAATCCGCCGGCGAAGGAACTAAATCCCAAGTATGATTGCGAATCAAAGTTTTAAATTCGTCTGTCATGGCACATGAGTGGTGATAACGGGTTACCCTGCCGAAGCCCTCTCGAAGCGGTGAAAAATCCTTTCGGAGTGCCATTCATCAGTACTGAAAACGAACTCGATCGGAGACACTCATGAATCCACCCTCGCCACGTGGAATTAAATCCTAACTTGTCCAAAATCTCTAGGAGAAGCGGCCATTCGACTCTATCATAGGCCTTTTCCATGTCAAAAATCTGTAGCAATATCTGCCTTTCCTCCCTCCTCAGTTATCCACTCTCCTGCATCGTTACGAAGGCCCGCCACAAAATTATGTTTTCGACGAGCCCTGTTAACCGTATGAAAATACTCCAAATTCTTGTCCCCCTTTTTTTAACTAGCGGACCCTCGAATTCTGTTGCCAGTAAACTTCCTCCGCTTCCCACTGCCTATTCTGCTCAGTCTTCAGTGTCTTCACAGTCTCCCAGTCAATCGGGAGTATCAGTTTGACACGATCTATTTATGCTTGGATGGCCTTTATATTGCGGAGGGAATTAGTAGTACCCGTCCTGCTCCAATCATAGAGAAAATGACGGAGTTTCTTGAGTTTCTCCCATAGCTGATACATAGGAGTCCCTGGGATTTCCTCCTGCCAGACATAGGTAACCATAGCCTTCACTTCCGGATTGTCAGCCCAACGGGCGTCGAATCGGAATAGCGGCCGGCTGTGGCGTACGTAAGGTTTGTCGGAAAGAAGCAGGGCCCGATGGTCTGATCCTTGATCATTAAAATGTTTAACCGTGTATCAGGGAAGAGGTCAACCCAAGCCTGAGAACAAAGATCTCTATTGAGGCGCTCTCTGATGCAAGCCAACCCCATGCGCTTATTTGTCCATGTGAACTGGTCACCCTGATAACCAGGATCATGGAGGCCCAGATCATGGATAAAATCACGGAGATGGATGGCATGGGATGCATTCCACGTCAAGCTAAAGCAAACATATTCAATGTCTCTATTTCCAAGATTGTTCCTCTTAACACTAATCTAGTTGATTAACTTCATTTTGTGTTATCCAATAAATTCAACTTAATTATAACTATAAAATTATATCAACTTTTGTATAATTTAAATGAAAAATTGTTACAATATTAATAATTCCTTCTTGACTTGAAACTATCATGTCCATTAATGGTATATAAATATACCACCATAATACAAATTTATACCATAATCGTTCAAGATTGATACTATGTTGACATAGTTTTGAAACATCGTACTATGATAACGTAGCACACGATAATAATCGTGTCCTTAGAAAAATAAATATCATTTCATAGACCACACATAATATAATTTAACGCACAAAAATATTTAAATTCATATTTTAAGTAAAGGAAGTATAAATTGATAGACATAACAGGGGAATTAAGAAAAAAGTAAAAAAGAGTGACATTGTAATAAGATGATTGGAAAAATAGGAATACTAATAAAATAAAAATAAAGTATCATAATATATAGTACACTTACTTTTCTCTGTTTTGAATTTCATGCCCTCTCCTTAATTTTATATAGAGATATACTGGCATTGCTATTCGTCGCCCTAATAATTTAAATATTTATCGCCCTAAATCAAATGAAATTACATTGTTACCCTTATTGTTATAATTTTTTTTGCCGAAGTTAACAAAACCAAGAATTGACGGGTAACCCATCCGACCAGGCCCGTGATCATATAGGTTTCCTGCCGCCCCGACGCTTCGCCGACCGTTCGTCAGAAGTGCGGGTTGCCCACCCTGATCCGTCGTCACGTGTGACTTGTCTCTCTCGCATGCTCGTCAGACAGGTTAAAATCCAGGTGGCGGCGACTCTCTTCTTCCTTCTTTTGACAGAGTAGGGCGGCGACAAAGGAGGTGCATGAGAGGTGGCGACAGGTCGGACTCCTTCCTCCTCAAGCTGGGAAGCGCCGGATTCCTTCTTGTTTTGATATCCCCACCGGTGCAATGAAGGCATTGAAAGAGATCAAGTCGCCGCTCGAATGGACAGTGGTGTAGGCTTGGTGGGAGACGATCCTTGAAGCGGCGACGGACACAAAATTGTTCTGGTGTGCAGTGAAGGCATTGAATGAGATCGACGACCTCCAACCTCGGTCCGACGTCACATTCTCCACCCAAGGAGAATACAGTGTCTTAGCGAGTTTTGGCTTCTCTTCTTTCCTCAAGAGTCAGGGGCAATTTTGTGTTCATAAATGAGGGGAATGTGTTTTTTTTTTATGGGCAGGGGAATGCGATTTGTTGCTGATGAGAGGTTGAATCTACTGTTAAAATTAAGTATTCTACAGTGGGGGTGTTGTTTCATGGTTTGCTCTGTAATTGAAGTTGAGAAATTGATCGACAACACATAAATAGCAACGATAGCGAGCTTGGCGGTGGAGTCGTGGTTGGATCGGTTGCCGGCTGTTATTATTATAAGTACCATTTTGTAAATATGCCTTACTTAGGGTTATATATATATACGGTAGCCAGTGTGAGATCAGGGGTACCGCATACCTTGAGTATGAAAACGCTATCCAGATCTTGAATTGACTGATCTTTCAGAAATTATACTATACTCTAACCCTTAAAGATCAAAGTATAGGTCTTAATTCTATAAATCTTATACTCCAAGATTAATTTAATTAGAAACAATAATCGATGGTTATGATTCGTCCAAATATAGGCAAAAAAAAATGAATGCACCATCTTAGGGTTTATAGTTTATTATTTAGATAATTAGAACCTAGGGTTCGCTCATTAAGGGTTAGGGTATAGTATCATGCCCAAAAATTCTTCTAATTCAAGGTCTAGATAGCGTTTTCATACTCAAGGCCTGAGTAACGAAGCTAATAGCATTGGCTTGGAGAGTTTTGGCTCTCCCGTGGACTAGTCCTGTTGATCAGGGAAACCACGTTAAACATTGTGTCTTTGTTCTTTGCTTTGATTTGACATGGTATCAGAGCCTGTCTGATCATCGACCTTACGACGTTGGGTAGTTTTGGCGCTGAATTTGTTTTGGGTTCTTGTGGCTGTTCTATTTGGTGTTCGTCGACTGCAAAGGCTGTTGCGTGTTGGTTGAAGTCGCAACAGTTGGTTGACGTCGCGACAGTCCGCCTCGACAAGCAGGTCTGTTTGCCTCGGCGACTTAGGTTTGATGGAACGATGGACTCAGTTTGTTCGCCCCGGTAAGATGGACTCGGTCGCAATTAGGTTTGATGGAACGAATTTCCCGCTATGGGAATTTCAGTTTCGTATGTGCATAGCTGGCAAAAGCTTGCTGCCGGTTTTGAATGGCGAGATAAAGAAGCCTTACGATACCGCAACGGAGCAGCAACAACGAGAATGGGCAGCTTCCAATACCCAGATCATCACCTGGCTGTTGGGGTCTGTGGATATTCCAACGGCATTGAGTTTTCGAAGGTTTACTATTTCTCATGAGATGTGGAAACACATCTGTACCACGTACTCGCAGGCGGATCCTTCCTGTCTCTATGAGCTGGAAAGTGCAATTGGCTCCCTTTCTCAAGGAGATCAGGACGTAAGGAGCTACTACAAGCATTGTTTGCATATGTGGACGGAGTACGATTTAGTTACTGCGTCCTTGTTGACTGGGGATGCCTAGGTTGAAGTTCAGAAGGAACTCAGTAGGACACGAGTTATCCAGTTTCTTATGAAACTCAGGCCTGAGTTTGAGTCCATCCGTGCATTGTTGATTCATCGTGGAACCACTAACCTTGATGCTGTGATTGTCGAGTTATTACGAGAAGAAACGCAGCTGAAGAGTCAGTCACAGATTGATGGTCAATCTCAGGAGTCCTCCTTTGTCGTAGGACGATCGGGAGGATCTTCTCGGCCTCACTTCGGGAATCCAGCCAATGGAGAGGTAATATGTCATTTTTGTCAAGAACCAGATCATGTCCAAATCCATTGCAAGAAACGCAACTACTGTAACTACTGCAAGAAGGCTGGGCATATTGTGATGGATTGCAACACGTTGAACAAACGTGGTAAGAACTGTTTTGCTAATAGTTCAGCTGCTGGTTCCTCTACTTCGGCTGGGTCAGCTTTTGGTTGACGCCAAGGATCAGAGTACGCGGTTACTCCCAGCACCTCTAGGCCGCGTCCCACTTTTTCCAGCAGCGCTGATTCAGCTGCCTTCTCTCGTGAGTGGTTCGCAAACTTGTTCAGGAGGCATTGCAGGAAGTTCTGCCTCAAGCCCTCAATTCCTCCTTCGCTACAGGAGCGGTTACGGGTAATTCGCCACAATGGTTGCTCGATTCAGGCGCGTTTAATCATATGACTCATGCACGGTCTACTTTCGATGAGTTACGTCTTGTTTCTCAGCTGAATCTTCGGGTCGTAAATGGTGCACAGGTTCCGGTACTTGGTCGTGGGACTTCCTCCACGTCCACTGTTACACTTCCTGATACATTATATGTTCCTAGTTTACTACCTAATCTTGTCTCATTCAGGCAACTAACTTAAAATGGTTGCGATGTTACCTTTAAATCTACTAGTTGCATGGTACAGGACAAGAGGACGAGGAAGGTGATTGGGAAGGGAAGTAAACAAGGAAGAATCTTTGTTCTTGATGCGTTGCAGCAACCGCCTGGAAAAGCTTCATATGCTGTGGATGATGGAACTGTCATTGGCAAGGGCAAAGATATTTTGAGTCCGTTGTGTGAGTCCTGGTCGAACAATTCTGTGAATTTTGTTGGGTTGGATTTTTCTAAACATGCATCGGTTTGGAAATTATGGCATTGTCAGTTAGGCCATCCGAATTCTACAAGATTATTAACAATGTTTCGTCAGAATTTGCTACCTGGAAAGTTTGATTCTTCTTTTGGTTCTCGGTCTGATTGTGTGAGTTGTATTGAAGCTAAGACTACTCAACAATCTTTTTCGGCTAATGATACTGAATATGATGCTCCATTTGATCTTGTGCACACAGACCTTTGGGGTCCGTCTCATGTGACTTCTCGTATGGGGTTCAAATATTTTGCCTTATTCATTGATCATAAGACACGCTATGCCTGGGTTTTCTTTCTACGTCTTAAGTTTGAGCTGCATGGCGTGGCAAAAGAGTTTGTACAGCGAATTAAGACACAGTTTGGTAAGACGATCAAGGTTATACGTTCTGATGAAGGTGGTGAGTTCACTAAACATGGGTTGCTTGATTTCTATAAGCTCGAGGGCATTCTTTCTCAGTTTTCTTGTCCAGGCGTGTCACAGAAGAATGGTCTGGTTGAAATGAAACATAGACACGTATTGGAATTGACCCATGCCTTGTTGTTTCATTCTCATATGCCGAGTGGATATTGGGTGGAAGCCGTGCACACAGTTGTTTACCTGATAAACCGCCAGATTACGTCAGTCTTGGGTCAACTCTCCCCATATCAGGTCTTGTTCTCAAAGCAGCCAGATTATTCTTTCTTACGCGTGTTCGGGTGCACGTGCTTTGTTTTCTTACCACGGAAAGAGCGGCATAAAAACAGTAAGATGTGTGTTTTTCGGTTATAGTGACAATCACAAAGGCAATCATTGTTATGACCCGGTTGGGAAAATAATGCGTACAGCATACCATGTTATGTTTTTAGAGCAAGTCATGTACTACTCACTGGATCCTCACCATGAGGAGAATACTCCCACATTTCTGGAATTTTTGGCGCCATTGCCTAGTTTTGATGCCCCTACTGTCACGCCATTGGAGCCTCGGGGAGGGAATGCAAATCACTCATACACTGGCAGTCCTTCCTCTTCTTCGACACACAACAGTTCGTCTTCCAGTTCGGATAGCAATTCACATTCGGATCACTTGCTTTCTGCTTTCCATTCGACTTCCTCTAGTAGTTCACCGTCCGGGTCGTCTCCAAATGCATCTGGGAACTCGACCGCAGGTGGGCATAGTGAAGCAACGAGTGGGCACAGCGAAGCAACGCCTTCACCACATGTCTTGCGAAGGTCGAATCTTTCCACCCAAGGCCAGCCGCCAATACGGCTATTGGATTATGCAAGTTTTGCTACTGAACCTGTGTTTATTCTCGCTACGTATGAATAAGCAGTGGGGATTCCGCATTGGGACTTATCCATGCAAGAGGAGACAAGTGCACTAGAAGCAAACGGGACATGGAAATTGGTTTTACGGAGGCCGGAGATGTCTGTTATTGGGAACCGATGGATTTATACTATCAAAATGTATCCTGATGGAACAATTGAGAGATACAGGGCTCGGTTAGTAGCCAAGGGATTCCTTCAGGAACATGCCATTAATTATGGAGAAACCTTTGCACCAGTAGTGAAAATGCAGACGGTTCGTTACTCGCTATGACACAACTCCTAACAAAGTCCAAGTGTAACCAATGAAAGGGATTGCAGTATAGTGGCTCAAGTGATAAATATCGAATCCACGGGTCTCTAGAGTTACTATTACTCAGCTTCAGTTTATTATTTAGCAAACTAGATTAAGATGAAAGAACTAAAACTACTCTAGCAAACTATAGTTAAAGTTAATTTAATTACAGGTTGGGAACTCACTTAGGTATGATTCCCCCTAGCCACTAGCCAGATTAATGATTGATGATCTCTAACCTGTTTCAATTTCATTCACAATGCGGAGAATCCTTGACTAGACCTTGAGTCTCGACTAAAGGAACAAGGCCCTCTTGAGTCAATTGCCTAGAGGGACGTATCCTTCTCTAGAACAACCGATCAAGGCGTTCTGCACTAGACTCCCTCTATCGAAAGAGGTTCTCAATCGATACAAAGCAGTGAATCAACCCTCGACTAAGCAATCAATCCACTACTATCAATCTATGGTGCTCTATTGACCTAATCAGGTATTCCCTCTCATAGTTTCAAAGCAGAATCAATAATCTCGACTAAAGCAGAATTGAATCATGAAAACATGCATAGATTGAATATGAACTCAAGGTTATCAAGTCAAAGTACTCATACAATCATCCAATCAAACAAACATAG